AAGGGAATTCAATTAGTCAAAAAAAATCAGAAATTTACAACAAAAAATACACATCCCCATCTTCTGAATTAAAAAATGACATGTTTCTTCACAACAAATCATTACACATCCATGGAAAATCGTATCTCGAAACACAAAAAACAAGAAAAATTAAGCCTCCAAAAAAGGTTTTAAGTGTTCAACAGTAGTAATATTGTTTTGGGGAAACTCACTTAGATCTTGATCTTGTGCAGATTCCAACGAAAAAAGGAATGAGATTTTTCAGTTTCTAGTTTCGCCGATTAGAGCTCCGGCGAAGTTTGTTAGGAAGAACGAGATGCAAAGTCGGTGTGTTCTATATATATATATATATATACACACACACAAGTAGAATTGGGCCCTTGCGATTGTAATGGAGAAAGAAATAATGCCGGTTAAAAGGTTAAAACCTGTGAAAATCATATATACGGAGAAACTTTCTAATTTGGCAACGGGGTGATCAGGTTACCCGTTAATTAGCTGGGAGGTTGTTAGGGGATTTCAATTTTTTGCTTTTTCTTTTTAGGTTAAATCCTTAATTTAGTTCTCAATTATTATATAAATCTCTAATTTAGTTATTAAATTAAAAAAAATTTTAATTTAATCTTTATTATTTATTAATTTGATCTTAAATTGACTCTTTTATTTAAAAAATAATTAATGTATTTATTATTTATGGATAAAAAATTATTATTTAATAATCATGTATCACATTAATAATAATATATATTATTTATTTTTGTATAAAAATATCAATTTAGAGTTAAATTGGTAAATAATAAAGATCAAATTAAGAAATGTTTTAATTTATGGACCAAATTGAAGGTTTATGAAATAATTAAGGGACCAAAGCGAGGATTTATCCTTCTTTTTAATGTTCTCTTTTTCTCCGATTTTGAGGGTCCTGGTCAGATGCCATGGTACAAGGGGTCTAAGATTTTTTTTTACATCCTATTTCGGCTTGTTTCACGGACTAATCCAATCTGGATCCCATCTGGCTGCCTTGTTATCCACGTGTCATGTGACCACCATCTCTAAATGCAAATTGCAGTGCAAAACCGTGAACTCCTACCGACCCACGCTGGACAGGTGTCGGTCTCGCTAACCGGCTGCAAAAAAATAGTCTGATGCAAAAAAATAGTCTATTGCAAAAAAATAGTCTATTGCAAAAAAAATAATCGACTAATTAAATAATTCAAAAATAATTTAAATAATAATTTTTAAATTTAATTCATATGATATATAAATAAAATTGTTTAAAATACAAGAGAGTGTTATTTTTTAATTATACAAATTAAAATAAATAATAATAATGATAACCATGGTATTATAAAATCAAAAATGTTTTGTAATTAGCAGTCTAGATAACAAAAGGTTAAAATCGTGAACTTCTACCCACCCACGCTGGACAGGTGTCGGACTCGCTAACCGGATGCAAAAAAATGGTCTATTACAAAAAAAAAAGTCAACAAATTAAATAATCTAAAAATACTTTTTTTTTCATGAAAATAATAATTTTCAAATTTAATTCACATAATATACAAATAAAATTGTTTAAAAGACAAGAGAGTGTTATTTTTAATTATACAAATTAAAATAAATAATAATAATGATAACCATGGTATTATAAAATCAAAAATGTTTTGTAATTAGAAGTCTAGATAACAAAATGCCAGGTTGCCTTCTAAATAGTTGTTTTTACATTTTAATACAGTCAATAAAAATGTCTTTTAATTTACAAATGCACATAAAATTTTAAAAAATTGTACTTTAATTATATGTCAATAAATGCATATAAATACATGACCTTAAACTGAAAAATAGTTGGGACACATGCAGCTGTTTCCATTTCATAAAAATAAGTTATAGAGACATTAAGTACAGAATCACTGTAAATCAGCAGCTATAATATATTGTATGGATGGCAAAAGCCCACCATCAGTAATCCTAAGTAGGTTAGATCACCATATAAGAGCACAAATATTTTGTGATGGAAGAATATTAATTATAAAAATTTAAATTTTAAATACAAATTTTATTTGTCATAAAAATATAAATTTTTGTAATAAATTTTCCATCACAAAATATTTATTTCCTTATAGTGAATAAAAATGTTATATCATGTCAATAACTAAATAATTCAGTGGTCATCTCTTTCGTTGAAAGTAAGAGATCCTGAATTTGAGTTGCATGATATGCAAGTGAGGTAAGATAAGAAATTGAGAAATAATTACCTTTCATTATGCAATCAAGATAAAAAAAAAAAAAATGCTAAATCATGGGCTACCTTATTATCATCCATAAGAATATGTACAAAAGACACATTGTTATTTTTTGAGTTATTTAAAATTAGTTTATCACAAAAAGAAGAAGAAGAAGAAGAAGAAGAAATTAGTTTAAAAAAATACCAAGTTGAGAAAAAAAAAAAAAAAAAGAGAGAAAAGAAATCCTAACTTGCAAGCCACTGGTCGATCTGGTTTTGTGGGTTTTCCAAATGGGTGCTTAACTAGATACTACAATGGAATCATTTAAAAACAAAAAGGTACCTTTGGGCTTTAACATATTTTATGAAATGGAGAAATTCTCAAGCATTCGTGAGATTAGTTATTCAAAATGTTGAATACCTGTGATATTAAATAAAATGTTGAAAATTACTAAAATATAGTAAAAAGAAGAAACGAAAGAAGAAAACAAAGAAATGGTAGAGGTCATTCGATCATTTAACACAAAATGATATATGCTTAATTGTATTAAGAAAAAAACTGTTATACAATTTAATTTGTATTAAATTATATTATTATATAATTTAATAATAATAATAAAAAAAAACAAATCAACTAATATTAAAATTTGTTTTTTCTCTGCTCACCTTTATTTTATAACATAATATAATTTGTAATGTAAGACAAAGATCCTTTGGTCACAGGTTAGTCAATTGTTTTAATTGATTGAATTGACACAAGTGCGGCAATAAAAGGCACTTATCCAATTATCCGCATGCAACAATCATTTCTTAAAATTATAATATATTCGACAATTCAAATCAAGAATAAAATAAAATAAAATAAAATAAAAATTAAGTAAAATATATATTAATGATATATTAATTTAAGTAAAATAAATTTAATTTATTTTAAATAAAATTTTAAATTTAAATTTTATAAATAAAAAAATAAAATATTGTGAGAGTTTCTTATTTATTAAATTTTGATTTAATTCACTTCAAAATTAATCAGAAACTGATATAATTAGCAAAAAAAATAGTAATAAAGGGAAGTCTCTAGTTGGTTGAGAGGCCGACGGTCCAGAATGAGAGTTCATAACAGCAGAAGCCAAGTTGCTAATTATCAGCCAAGTTGCTAAGTATCCAGTTGGGTGAGGAGCCGACGGTCCAGAATGAGAGTTCATAACGAAGCAAAAAAATAGTCTATTGCAAAAAAAAAGAAAAAAAAAAAAGAGGAAAAAGTAGTCAACAAATTAAATAATTCAAAAATAAATAAAATAAAAAATAAAATAAAAAATATATTAATGACATGTTAATTTAGATGAAATAAATTTAATGTATCTTAAATAAAATTTTAAATTTAAATTTTATAAATAAAAAAAATAATGTGTTGTAAGAGTTTTCTACTTATTGAATTCGATTCAATTCACTTTTAAATTAATCAGAATCAATATAACTAATAAAAAAAATAGTAATAAAGGTAAGTCTCTAGGTGGTTGAGGATAA